CAATGAGTTTTGGGGACAATCTGGGAGGATTCAGCAGCGTTGAGGTCGGAGTTTGGTGTTTTTGGCGTTCCTGGAAGGATGCATCACCCCCGGGATGCCGGGGTGACAACATCTGCCCTGAAAGAGGACCACAGASAGTCTCACCAGCAAGAATCACACAATTCCCCAGAATTCTGACAAACAGACTCAGCACAGTTTCAAGTGGGGTTTATTTACAGTCATCGCAACCGATTTCCACAAAAGTCACGACTGAGTGTCAGTAAATTGCACAATACACCCAAGAACCTTTCTCTGTTCAGCAACCACATATCTAGCACAGAAACTTTTTCTACTGATAAGGCAGAAAACATCATCTCGAGAGGATTTCTAAGGCCTGACATATCTGCTGGGACCTGTTCTTGGAAGCATTTCTCACCCTGGATCCGTCAGGGGCAGCAGTCCTAAGACCGAGCCCAAGTTTGTGCTGCACCAGAGTCCTCCCAGCTCAACTCTCATTCCCTACATTCCCTAGGCAAAAAAAATTCATAATTTAAACAATAATTTCACACATGATCACAGYTTATGTCTGCCAGCAAGAGAAACCCGTGCAGGTTTTCCTTTGGAGCATCCTTAGGTGGAAGCGGTGCTGAATTAATCAAATTCGTTATTTCCACCGTAATGAAGGCTCTGCTGATGTCCAGGGTAGGAAAACACTCCCAGTCTGACTGAGGGCAGCTGGAATTGCTGAGGAGCTGCACTGATGCTGTCATTTATTGTCCCTCTTCATCCCTGGCTCGTTAACACCATCCACTAACGAGATTTCTCCATCCAGTCCAGGAGGATGTCCAACTCCCCCAGCGATTTCATGGCTGCAGATGTGACATTCAGCTGAAAGGAACGAGCTGTAAGCAAAGATCTTCGGTACAACCCAAAATAAAGAGAATTTAAATATCTGTGTCAATCACCAGGCTCYGTCACCAACTCACCCCTTCGTAGTTTGTGAGTATTTGCTTGAATTTCTCTGTGGATTCCTCCCCACATTCGCAATTATTCTGCTCACGCTGGAAAAAATGAGATTAATTCATCAGTCTGGGGGAGTTAATTTTCAAAAATAAGATTTTAATTTCTGATTTTGCTGGGCATCGTAGACTGAGGCATTGTGAAACTGTGGCTGCAGGTTYCTAAATCAGATTTTAGCTGATAACAGATTTCATAATTTACTTCACAGACACGGGGACAGGATAAGTATCAGTCTGGAGGACAAATGGAAGGGTTTGCTGGTGAATGGGAAAATAAAAAACTTTCTCAGTGAGCAGAATGATTCTGCTTTGTATTCTCATTAAAATAATATCCATAAATAGYGATTTTGTGATTTTACAAAGCTCTCAGGTTGTTTTTTTACATGAAATAACAACAGGAGAAGCCACCCTGGGGCAGAACACAGAACTTACACACTGCCCCAGCTTCCTCCTGGCGCTCAGGAAGGAATTAGCGATGCTGCTGATTTTCCTGTTCACAAATGAATCCTCGGTGGTGCAGTGCTTGAAAACTTTGTCCACGTAGAAGGTGAGGAGGTGATGGATGATACAGCATCTGTCTGAAGACTTAAAAAAATTAATTTAATTACTCAAAAGTGTTCCAAAGGGGTGTAACCTGCAGTCAGGCTCTGGGATAAAGCAGCTCTGACAGGAAGCTGAGCACAGCAGGACAGTTTGACTCAGATAAAGCTGCTCCAGTGGTGCTTGATGGAAGGTGATAAAATACATGGGAAATCATTTTRGGATGATTTTCCAGGAGATCCATCCTCAGTAAGGCTGAGTCAACAGCATCAAACCAGCTGGGTGTCAGAGCAGAGACCTGGAGCAGAGGCCTTTGTCTGTRCTTTGGGGTGTGAGAAAGCTGAAAAATACTGATTTATCATAAGGAAAGGTCACATCCACCTTCTGTTGGATGGATTGGGCTTCCCAAGATCACATTGACCTATTTTGGATGAATCACCCTTCTTAGGGTCACATCCATTGATTTTGGATGGATCACCCTTCTTAGGGTCACATCCATTGATTTTGGATGGATTGTGCTTCCCAGGGTCACACACATAGTTTTTGGGTGGATCAGCCTCCCCAAGGTCACATATGTGGATTTTGGATGGATCACCATTCCCAGGGTCACATCTGTGGATTTTGGATGGATCACCCTTCCCAAGGTCACATCTCCCAATTTTGGATGGATCACCCTTCCCAGCATCACATCCATTGATTTTGGATGGATCACCCTTTTCACGGTCACATCTGTGGATTTTGGATGGATCACCCTTCCTAAGTTCACGTTGACCTATTTTGGATGGATCACCCTTCCCAAAGTCACATCCATTGATTTTGGATGGATTGTGCTTCCCAGGGTCACATCTCCCAATTTTGGATGGATCACCCGTCTTAGGGTCACATTCCCCAATTTTGGGTTGATCACCCTTCCCAAGGTCACATTGACCTATTTTGGACAGATCACCCTTCCCAAGGTCACATCCATTGATTTTGGATGGCTCACCCTTCCCAAGGTCACATCCCTCTATTTTGGATGGATCACCCTTCCCAAGGTCACATCTCCCTGTTTTGGATGGATCACTCTTCCCAGGGTCACATCTCCCTAGTTTGGATGGATCACCCTTCCCAAGGTCACATCCATTGATTTTGGATGGATCACCTTTTTCATGGTCACATCTGTGGATTTTGGATGGATCACCCTTCCCAAGGTCACGTCCCCTGATTTTGGATGGATCACCCTTCTTAGGGTCACACTGACCAATTTTGGATGGATCACCCTTCCCAAGGTCACATCTGTGGATTTTGGATAGATCACCCTTCCCAAGGTCACACTGACCTATTTTGGATGGATCACCCTTCTTAGGGTCACATTGACCTATTTAGGATGGATCACCCTTCCCAGGGTCACATCCCCCAATTTTGGATGGATCACCCTTCCCAAGGTCACATCCCCCTATTTTGGATGGATCACCTTTCCCACCACATCCACAGATTTTGGGTCTACCTACCTTAACCCTGTTCAAGGGGTGCGGGTGGGAGAGGATGCTCAGGCTCCGGACGGGATCTCGGGATTGCTGTGGAGAGGACAGAGGTGCCCATGGACCTGAGGAGCTCCAGGAGCTGCCAAGGGCTCCCCCGGCTCCCCAGGGCTGGGGAAATACTCACAATATTGGCTTTAATTGCTGTGAAGCCAGCCCTGATCTCTGCCGTGCTCATGGACACYCTGCAGGCTCCAAAATGGAAGATTTTGTCCCCAGTTGTTGGCATCAAAGTCACCCAGAAAGACACAGAGAAGAGGCAGAGGAACAARGGGGATCCTCTCATGTCAGCTGCCTGGGAAACCTGCCCAAGGAA